TCAGGGGAAATGTATGGGCAGTGCTGTGTGCCTGTCACGTCATGTCTTTGAGTACAACACAGGCCGCTTCTTTAACTGTGGTTGAGCAAACAGCAAGGAATTCTTGGGGCACTTGTTTGTGGAGAAGTACAAGCGCTTGACACATAACTTCTTGGAAGTGACATGAACGGCTTTTCTGCATACGCTCTAAGTTCCACGTGCTGCATCATGCTTTCGGGGTCCATTCATGTGCGGGAACCTACTTTATGGATGTCCCGTTTAATGTTGCACCCGGTTTAGTGAGGGGGGGGGGGGGGGGGGGGCACTATTATGCGTTTTTCCGGAGATCTTATAGAGGACCCCCCTTTGATTAGGGTGGTCCGCAAGTATGCGACGTTGCCCCCGCCGGGGTTGCCGGCTAGGGGAAAAAAGGGCTTTGCCTTCAACACTAGTACTACTAGTACTACTAGTACTACTAGTACTACTAGTACTTCTAGTACTTCTAGTACTTCTAGTACTTACTACTACTACGACGACGACCCCAGCACACTAGTCAGGATCCCCGAAAACCCGAAAATTGTTTGGGGGGGGGGGGGGGGGGGGGGGGGGGGGGTGGGGGGCCCCTGCGCACGAAACCGAGTCCAACATGGGCATGGTTTAGTGTCAAAAGTTTCGGGTGTTCATGTTCAAAAAGGGTTCGTGCTCATTCTCTGGCTCTTGGAGAAGTGTAAAAGTTCTCCATCGTACATTGCGGCAGCATATGGCGAGAAGTGTAAGTAGCAAGTTAGGGCACGGTTTGTTTTTCGACCCGACCGTAAGAGCCCAAGCCTACTTTTTCGTAGCCCTACGCCCTCAATCCTAAACCCGAAACCCTGATAAAGGTTTATAGTAACAACCTACAAAAACGTAATATAGGAGTCGGAATACTTACCAATAATGTTCCCTTATGGCCCTTTGTAATAATACTATAATAACCCCTAAACCCTAAACCCTAAACCCTACACCCTTAACCCTAATTATTCAGGCCCCTATTTTCGGTCACCTGCAAAATCCGCAACCCCCTGAACCCCTGAGACCTAATCTTGCATGGGGTCCCCAGCGCTGGGTTTAGGGTCTAGGGTCTACGATTTAGGGTCTAATTTCCGTCGAGTGAGAACGTCCCTAAACCCTAAACCCTAAACCCTAAACCCTAAACCCTAAACCCTAAACCCTAAACCCTAAACCCTAAACCCTAAACCCTAAACCCTAAACCCTAACCTAAACCCTAAACCCTAAACCCTAAACCCTAAACCCTAAACCCTAAACCCTAAACCCTAAACCCTAAACCCTAAACCCTAACCCTAAACCCTAAACCCTAAACGCAGGGTTTCGAGTGCGCCCAAGGTCGCTCATCCCGGTCGACCCTTCATCGCACAGCTCTGAGATGGGAAGTTGTACTTGGATGTTCATGGTACTTATTAACCAGGGTTTAGAGTTTCGGGTTTAGGGTTTAGGGCTTAGGGTTTAGGGTTTATGGTTTAGGGTTTAGGGATAACGGTACTTAAAACCATATTAGGACACTTAGGGGGCTTATAAGTGGGTTATAAGTACGTTTATCATTGGTTAATAAGTACCCTGAACCTCCAAGTAGGCCCTCAGATTTGGTTCAGGACTTAGGGTTTAGGGATTAGGGCTCAGGGCTTAGGGCTCAGAATTTAGGGTTTTGGGTTTAGGGTTTAGGGTTTAGGGTTTAGGGTTTAGGGTTTGGCATGTGAGGTTCTGGGGCTTAGGGTTTACATGGCTCAGGGAGCACTCCATTGGAGGTGGTTGACTGCACGGGGGCTCGTTGGAGACGATGCGCCCCCCATACCGATGGCTTTCTTCGCTTCTCCTAAGCCCTAAACCCTAAACCCTAAACCCTAAACCCTAAATGCCCAAAAGAAAGTGTTTAAGTGTCCCCCCCCCCCCGCCCCAGTTTCGAATCACTGTCCACCGTGGGGCTCTCAGCTTTAGGATCTTCTTCTTTTCAAGCAGGGTTCCTCTATTGCCCTTGCCACACCCACACCCTCAACCCTAAGTCCTAAACCCTAGCCCTACACCCCAAAACCCTAAGCCCTAAACCCCAAACCCCAAACCCTAAACTCTAAACCCTAAAGAACCTCAAAGCCTTAGGTGGGCAACCCCGGCTCAGCGGCCGTGCCTGTCCCCCAGGTACCAGGCGCGCGGTGAGGAGGGGGTTTTGAGGGGGATTTAGGGTTTAGGATTTAGGGTGTAGGGCTTAGGGCATAGGGTTTTTAGGGTTTAGGGTTTGGGGTTTAGGGTTTGGGGGGCGAACGCCTAAGCCCTAAGCAAGTCCAACTCTTGCCTGGGTTTAGGGTTTAGGGTTCAGGGTTCAGGCTTCAGGGTTCATTGCGAAGGGCCCTTTGAGAACATGTGCACCTTTCCTAAAACAAGTCCTTAAGGTGTAGGGTTTAGGGTTTAGGGTTTAGGGTTTAGCGTTTAGGGTTGAGGGGTCCTCATCCCCTCCAGAAGACGCTGAACTACGCGCTCCCTCCACCTATACACTCAATAGGCTCACGAATATTGGATGCTAGGGGGGGAAGGTTACCTAAACCCCTAAACCCCGGAACCCCTAAACCCCTAAACCCCTAAACCCCGAAACCCCGAAACCCCGAAACCCCTAAACCCCTAAACCCCTAAACCCCTAAACCCCTAAACCCCTAAACCCCTAAACCCCTAAACCCCTAAACCCCTAAACCCCTAAACCCCCCCTAAACCCCGAAACCCTATACCCTAAACCCCTAAACCCCTAAACCCTTACACCCCTAAACCCCTAAACCCCTAAACCCCTAGACCCCTAGACCCCTAGACCTCTAGACCCCTAGACCCCTAAACCCCTAAACCCCTAAACCCTAAACCCTATACCCTAAACCCTAAACCCTAAACCTAAACCCTAAACCCTATTTGGGGGGAGGGGTTTCAGTTTCCAAGAGCTGTCAACTGACGGGAGGTGCGATGCCTTATGCCGGCTACCAAGCCAAGGACGGCACCCTCTTGGTGTTTAGGTGTAGGGTTTAGGGTTTAAGGTTTAGGGTTTAGGGTTTAAGGTTTAGGGTTTAGGGTTTAAGGGTTTCGGGCGTAGCCCTCAACAAAAACGGTTTGTTTGGGGTCTTTGGGATTGGCCCGAGGGGGTCCGAAACCCTAAACCCTAAACCTGGCTGTTTTGGGTGTTTGGCGGATGAGCCACTTAGGGTTGTGGAGAGTGGGGGACTGAGGGCTCAAGGGCGCGGAGTTGTTAGGGCTTAGCAGCTAGGAGTTCAGGGTTTAGGGTTTAGGGTTTAGGGTTTAGGGTTTAGGGTTTAGGGTTTAGGGCGTAGGGCTTAGGGTTAAGGGTGTATGCGACCATTGGAGGTTAACCTTCGGGGAGTGGCATTGCTGTTTCTGCATTCGTGCCAGCCGCGCGAGGGATGATAAACAAGGGGCATACAGAAGGTACCTGATTCCAGAATTTCCGACGAAGAACTTGCACGAAAACCGCCAACAATGAGGCCTAAACTCCGGGACCTAAAGCCTAACCCAAAACTCTACTGTTGCCGGTTTAGGATTGAGGGGTTTTCGGGTTCAAGGTATTCTAGAAAGTAACGGCTCAAGCCCCAGGCCCTGAACCCCAATTCCTAAACCCAAAACCCCAAACCCCACGCCCTGAACCCCAAGCGCGGTCCCGGAACAGCTGCTTAAAGCCAGCCTTCATCTTAGGGCAACTGCATGGTCCCCCAATATGGGCCCTTACTGAAGTGAGGGTTTAGGGTTTAGGGGTTTAGCCCCCACATCCCTAAGAAGCAGCTAAAACTACCATGCTCGGGGATAGTTTTGATTTTTTCGATACCAGAATTCCTTTGTGACAGCTAAAACTATCATCCTTGAGAAAAAAGTTTATATTTTTTGGGCACTAGAATTCCTAGGAAACAGCTAGTTCTTTTTTTGCTACGGTTCCAAGTTCAGTATGTTAGAGTCTAAGCTGTTTCCCCTTTGGGATACTGGAGAAGAGAGAGCAGGGCACCCCCATCCTCCTGCAGCCGTCGATGGTGTCTCCGCAGGGGGGCTCGGTCAGTTGCAACCTTTGGCTTACTTTGCCAACGGTTGCCTCAAGCTTGAAGCTGTTTGGGCTTCCTTATTTAGTAGGAAGACTGGAGTTCAACCTTTTTTCCCCCTTGGTTAGTGGAGAGGTTAGGGTTTCGGGTCTGGGGTTTTGGGGTTTAGGTACCCTCGACCTTAAAACCGATGACCTCATATCTATGCCCAAGAGCCCCCCGAAGCCTACCATCTGTCTAACATAGGGGTCGGAATACTTACTCTTCCCTTATAAAGACCCCTCAACCCCAACCCGAAGAAACTCGAGCCCAGAAGGTGCTGGGCTTTGGTAGGCTCGGGGTTCTAGGATGCAAAAGGCAGGTGTTCTGGTTTGGGGTCACCCTAAACCCCAAACCCCAAACCCCAAACCCTAAACCCCAAACCCCAAACCCCAAACCCCAAACCCTAAACCCTAAACCCTAAACCCCAAACCCCAAACCCCAAACCCCAAACCCTACTAAACTTGAAACTGTCAGGAAGGGGAGTCGTAGTAAGGTGAGCGGCACTGACGTATCACCAATGATTACGCGAGATGATGTCTATGGGCGTCAAGTTGATGGAGCCTCTCAGGCAGCAGTAGTCTGCCCGAGACAATTTTGGAGGTCGCACAGACAGGCCGGCACGCCCCAGTCTGAACGGTTTAGGGGGTTTAGGGTTTAGGGTTCAGGGTTCAGGGTTCAGGGTCAGGGTTCAGGGTTTAGGGTGAACAATCAGGAAGGGCTGCAAATGCCTAGGAGGAGGATGACAAATGGACAGCAAGTACTGTCACTGCCGTGAGGCTTTGTGCTTCTTCTTGAGTGTTCTGAATCTCGTATACACTTATTGGGAACCCTAAACCCTAAACCCTAAACCCTAAACCCTAAACCCTAAACCCTAAACCCTAAACCCTAAACCCTGAACCCTTATGGTCCCTATGTACCTGTTGGGACATCTGACCAGGTCACTTTCTTGGGCTCATGCAAGATCTTTATGACATTCAGCACGAAGCCGATGCCGTGAAAAGGAAAGAAGCAGTGAATCCTTAGAAAGACCTGGCAAAAAGGGCTCCGAATCACGCACGCAAAAAGGATTCGGCGCCGAGAAAATAAATCATGGCAATACATATCATCTGCACATCCAGACCAATATGCAGAGAGGAAAAACCTAGATGAAAGCGAAAAGATGATGCCCAGCGATCTTGTCAACAAATGTTTACCCCGTCATAGGTAGCCAGCCTCTGCTCCAAAGTTCTTCCTGAAGCAACCTCGTCATTGAAGACTCTTATCCAAGGCTGCGAAAGATTTGTACAGTTGTCATGATCATGGCACTTGCGAGCTTTAGGGGGTTGACTGGTGTAAATGAAGCAGTTTTTGCAATACACAGTATAGTAGTGGAAGCACCAATCATGCATCTTCAGCTTCTGATCTGCATTGCGAGGCCGATCGCGATATTGTTGCACCCACGTTTTGAGCCTTTCCAGTTGCTTCTTAGCTTCCACAACATTGCCGGGGCAAGCTGGAGTGTTGTTGTTATCATACCTATGCCTTGAAAGGAGAAGTGCAAAGAGAGGATGTCTCCATTCGCACTTCAAACATCGCACAGGCGAGTACTTTAGACCAGCCCAAACCACTGGCCCGCCATGTTCTTCAGCAATTTGTTCGACGATTTTCTGTTGCTTGGCTTTCTCTTTTTGCCAAATGGATGCGGCGCGAGCAATTGCACGAATGTGCACTTGACCCTTGTTGTCATAGCAGCAGGCCTCCCAAAAGCTTTTGACCGAGGTAGCATGGCTTCTCGGAACATTTCTTCCACACCGGCGGCAGAATAAGCGACCTCCTTCAGAAACGACACAGTCTTGCGGGTGTGACTGTCTGACAGCTTGCGCAATAGCAAGTGGCTGCGGCTGTTTGCCTCGCAAGCGGCGTCTCGTAAGTGGTCTGCCTTCAGGATGTGGGGGCGGCGGCGGCGGAGGCTGCTGAACCTCTCCATCTCCTCCATGCGCTTCATCGTTACCCGCAGCAGCATCACTCATGTGACGATTAGCAAGCTCGATGTCAAGGAAAACTCGCTGCACTTCATCAATTGGAGGGCCACGGTAGCCGATAGGGGCGAGGGCGCATTGGATAACGCACTCCGGATAATCACCGAGGTTTTCACGCATGTCTCTGAACCACTGGGGTCGTAAGTGTTCCCATCTTGGACATACCCAGTAACGATGTTTTCTCGTCTCATGTAGCTGAGCTGTAGAACACTCCTGCAGATCGCAGAAGGGATCCGGCGCCAGATTTCTCCGGCCATGACGATACATGCGCTCACGAGTGCGGATGCCACCCGAAACAATCTGTAAAAGTACACCTTTGTCAAAGTCAGGCAAGACCAAAGAAAGTTTGCGGTTTTCAGCATACAATACGCCATCTTGCACGCCGTCGTAGTCTTGTCGGCTTTCTTGGGCTCATGCTCGGGGGCGGGGGGGGGGGGGGGCTACGAGAAGGCCTTAGTTTAGGGTTTAGGGTTTAGGGTACCTCTAAGGGAGTAGGAGGGCCATATTAGGAGTACAATCAGGGAACCTGTTAGGGTACATCCTTAGGGTTCCGAGTATGACTCCATTGAATGCAACCCCTTGCGGTTCAGGGTTTGGCTTCGAACCCTTTAGGGTTTAGGGTTTTTAGGGTTTAGGGTTTAGGGTTTAGGGTTTAGGGTTTAGGGTTTAGGGTTTAGGGTTTAGGGTTTAGGGTTTAGGGTTTAGGGTTTAGGGTTTGTTTGTGTTGTTAAGGGACCCTAAGCCAGAATTTTGTCCACTGAAGCCCTTCGTTTTGCTTCGCGAGCAGCCCCCCCCCCCCCAAAAAAAAAAAAAATGGAGATCCCAAACTTGGCCAGTCGATCCCCTAAACCATTTTTTGAAGATCTCGCGATAACATATTGCGCTACTACGGGGCGTGTTTAAAAATTAGGGGGGCCGCGGAGGCTTTCATCTTCGTAAGCCACCCGAAAGCTCTAAACTCCAACCCACATAGCCCTGAAGCCTGAAGCCTAAGATTAGGAAACCCTTGTTCGTTTATAGAGCCCGAAACCCTACACCCTAAACCCTGAACCCTAAACCCTAAACCCATAGGGAAAGGATGATGAATTTCCTAACTTCCCTCACCCAAAAACACCTTCCGAGGGGCGCTCCTCCGCAGGTCCGTATCTCAACCTTCCACAGGGCTCTTAGGGCGCTGGGGTTTGGGGTTAGGGGTTTAGGGGTTTAGGGTTTAGGGGTTTAGGGATTTAGGGGTTTAGGGGTTTAGGGTTCAGGGGTTTGGGGGTTGAGGGGTTTAGGGGTTGAGGGGTTTAGGGGTTTGGGGGTTTGGGGGTTTGGGGTTTTGGGGGTTTGGGGGTTTGGGGGTTTAGGGGTGTAGGGGTTTAGGGGTTTAGGGGTTTAGGGGTTTAGGGTTCAGGGGTTTGGGGGTTGAGGGGTTTAGGGGTTGAGGGGTTTAGGGGTTTAAGGGTTTAGGGGTTTAGGGGTTTAGGAGTTTAGGGGTTTAGCGGTTTGGGATTGTGGGTTTAACGGTAGGACTTTCGTCAGCAACTACAAATTTACAAGGCCCTGAACACGACAAGCCCGAAAGCTCCTAAACAACAATCCGAAACCTTGAGCCCTTGAGCCTCAATTGCGACCCTCAAAGACAACAAAAAAAGCAAAAAAGAGACAAAAACAAGAAGCCTGGACCGGCACAGGCATCGACTTTGCTCGGGCTCCATGGGCCTGTGCATCCCGCAGCCTCTTGCTTTCTGACCTCCTGCCGCCAACACACACACACACACACTCTCAGGGGTTTCGGGTGTAAGGTTCAGGGCTTAGGGCGTTAAGGTTTGAACGGCTACTCTAACCCTACACCCTAAACCCTAGACTCTAGACCCAAACCCCTAAACCCAAACTGCACCAGAAACCTTCAACCCTGGAGCCCTAACTTTCAACCTAAGCTCGAAACCCCCCACCTCGAGGCTCGTGGTACTTAAGCAGCCAATCATGACTGTACTCATAACCCCAATTAGAAACCACATGGCACATATCGGGCTTATAAGTGGGTTGTATTGATTGGGATACCCCAAACCCTAGAACCTAAACCCTGTACAGTCATAACTGGGTTATAAGTACCGTGAGCCTCCCAGAACGCCTCCTACCCCAAACGGTGGTGTCGCTTTTGGGGTTTTAGGGGTCCAAGATTTCGAGCAGAAGGGTCCTAAACCCTAGACCCTATACCCTAAACCCGACAACCTAGGCAAACACTAAACCCTAAACCCTAAACCCTAAACCCTCTTCAAAGAAGCCTTCCACCCTCCGCCCGAGCCATGGATGGGACGTCTGGGTTGGAGGTACCGGAGGTCTCGATCATCCTACCTGTGCGGCTTGGATGAGGGTTTGGGTTTAGGATTTAAGGTTTGATTCTTTTTTCACCCTACACCCTAAACCCTATAACCCTATAACCCTATAACCCCAGAACCCTAGCACCCTATAACCCTATAACCCTATAACCCTATAACCCTATAACCCTAAACGGCGGAGTTTGGGGTTAGGGCCTTGGGCGCGGCTTTTCGACCCCGCGCCTAGAAATAACGTCCCTGTGAACCTTGAGCCCTATAAGCCCTTAACCCCAAACCCCAACCCCTAAACCCTAAACCCTAAACCCTAAACCCTAAACCCTAAACCCTAAACCCTAAACCCTAGGGTTTAGGATGTAGGGTTTAGGGTATCCCCCCCCATTTATGCACAAGTTCTCGAAGCTGTCGTTCCTCTTGGTGCTCATATTGCATCACAAAGCCCTCCATTTCTTTCGGGTGCTCCCAAACCCAAATACCAAGGTTTGAGCCCTAAGCCCTAAGCCCCATGTAGATGTATGCATGCGCATAAATATAAATGTCAATAGAAATATACATACATGAATATGTAATTATATATATATATGTATATATAGATATATGCAAGCATCGGGTAAATAAGCAAATAGACAAGTAGATAACTATGTAAACAAATACGTATGTGTATACATATATCTAGGCTTGCCACGCTTAGGGCTTAGGATGTTGGGCTTCGGGTCTTCTTTCTGGGTTTGGGCCTTTTTAGGGTTTAGGGTTTCGGGTGTGGCGTATGAGGGTTTAGGGTTTAGAGTTTAGACCCACCGATATCTATAAGAAACTCTGTATACACTCACCAAAAACAGTGGTATAGGTGACAGAAACACTAAGCCCCATATCTTTCCTTCCTAAGGTACAACGCGGAGGAGTTCCTAGACGAGGCAGGCCCCCACTGAAGCGCTTGGGCGTGTGAGGCTTACTTGAAATTTGATGGTACTTAATAACCAATTACAACTGTACTTCTAACGCAATGATAACCATATCAGCGCGGGCGTGGCCTAGAAGGGTTTCAGGGTTAGGGGCTAAGGGGATTTAGGGTTTAGGATGTAGGGTTCAGGGTTTAGGGGGGGGGGGGTAGGATTAGGGGGGGGTGTAGAGTAGGTAGCTCTAAGGCACCACTCAGTTCCTCAGCCACCCTGTGCATCCTCCGACCTCAAAAGCCAGCACGCTTTCACCAGAGGAGCTGTGGACAGGTTCAGGCTAAACCCTAAACCCTGAGCGCCCTAAACCCTGCATTATGCTTGGTGAATCTGTGCCTTTCGAAGGGGTACTTCGCACCTTGATCTTCGAGACCAAATATTCCGCACCAAGTACCATGTTCGGGTGCTCATGCGTGAACGACCCGAGTCGAAACTGGCATCTTCTGGACGTTGGCGGCAACACAGGTGTTGATTTTCTTGAACCTGGCCTGGACTGCTTGGCGAAAAAAAAGAGTAAAAGCTCCACGGTCTGATGGCTTTGTGTGGGTTCACCGGAGCTGGATGGGGGGATTTGTGAGTGGCTTTTGAGTCAGGAGGGGGGAGGGGGGGTGGGGGCGGGTTTCGGGACTGTTAGATTCTCGCGTTCGTTCACGGGCTTCGGTTCCAGGAGTTTCCGGGTTTAAGCGTTTCGGGCGAAGGGTACGGGTTTCGGGTAACCCCCCCTTGCTACAAATCAGTAGGTTCTGAATCTTGGAATTTAGGACTCTCGAGGCCCGAGCCCCAAGAAGCCCGGAGACTTTGTGTGGTTTAGGGTTTAGAGGGTTTAGGGTTTAGGGTTTAGGGTTTAGGGTCTAGGGTGTACACGATTTTTGAGGCCATCGTACTTAAACCAGGTAGGCTGTTTCTTGGGGTCCAGGCAGGGTTTGGGGCTTAAGGGCTTTTTGAGGGTTTAGGGTTTGGGGTCTAGGGGCTTTTTGAGGGTTTAGGGTTTGGGGTCCTAAACCCTAAACCCTAAACCCTAAACCCCTTGGAGGCCTTTGAGAGCATCCTGGAGCAAAGCTATCTCCAGCAGGGTGGCCGTTTGGAGGCGCCACTGGGAATGGTTTGAGTCGCTGGATTCGGGTTGAGTAAGAGTTTAGGGTTTAGGGTTTAGGGTTTAGGGTTTAGGGTTTAGGTTTAGGGTTTAGGGTTTAGGGTTTAGGTTTAGGGTTTAGGGTTTAGAGTTGAAGGTATAGGTTTCGGGTGTCGGGTTTAGGGCGTGCAGTATTCGAGGTTCCAGGTCTGTGTTGGGTGGGGGCGGAGGGGGTTGAGATTGAGGTTGAGGTGGCGCGCAGGCTCTCAATGGTGATTGCGTGCTAACATTGAACCCCCTCACTTGTGGGTTCTTACATGCTTGTTTTCCGGTTTGTCTGTTCATGGTTTTAGGGCTTAGGGGTTAGCCCTCAGCCCTAAACCAATGTAAATTCAGGGTGCGCTTGCTTTGAAACTGTGGGTGGATCCCTAGACCGCCCCCCCCCCCCCCCCACCAAACCGTAAACCCTGAACCAGCAGAGGAGTACGGTCTGTGTTGCCGGTTGACGTGACACTGAACGTGCCTCCTTATGAATCTTGGTGAGTGGATGCATCGGGTGTTTTTGTGAGGACGGTATGGAGCAAATCTAAACCCCTAACCCTCAACATGAGAAACCTACATCATACACACCCGAAGCCCTGAACCCTACCCCCTACTTAGTAGCTGAGTGAATACACTTCACACCCTATAAAACTGAAAGTGCACACTTTTGGGGGGCTTATGAACTCAGCAACCAGCCCATCTGCGGACAAGAGGTCTCCGTCTTCGACGACG